GGAAGGTGGCTTAGTGGTAGAGCACTTGCCTTGCATGCATGAGGCCCTGGGTTCGATTCCCCAGCACCACATAAACAAAAAGGAAAAAAGCCGGAAGTGGCGCTGTGGCTCAAGTGGTAGAGCGCTAGCTTTGAGTTGAAATGCTGAGGGACAGCGCCCAGGCCCAGAGTTCAGGCCCCACGACTGGACCCAAAAAAAAAAAAAAAAGAAAAAGAAATCATCTTATAAATATATTAGAAACAATTACATGAAAGGAAAACAAAAAACAAAAAAACATTTGAATACTTATCTTGGGGTTCATTCCCCTAACATCAACTTATCTGATGTTTTCTGCTTGACTCACATATACTAGTTATTTCAAATAAGGGAAAGCATGGGACCTATGTTTCTTTGGGCCTGGCTTGGGGAGGGAGAAGGATCGGGTGGGGAGAGGGGGAGTATGGGAAGGGATGGGAAGGGGAAACAAAGAGGAGGCAACAATGCTTGATAAGAAATGTACTCATTACCTTGCTCATGTAATTGTAACCTCTCTGTCAGGTGTAAGGTCCACCCTGTGAAGGTGAGGCAGATTCCTCTGTGTCACCTAGGTAACTAGCACACCTGGAAGCAGTCACCTCCCCCTCCTCAGAGGTCACGTCCTGGGCACCCCAGTCACATCTCCATCAGACCATGGGAGGGTCCTAGGCCCTGAGGTCACATCTGCATAAGGTATGTCCATACCTACCTGGCCACACCTGGCCACACCTTCTTCCCGCCCCTTCCCTACTTAAACCCAGGGGAGACCTTGGACCTTTCAGCCTGTGTGCCTCCACCGTGCATGGTGCGGGCAAGCAGTTCAGTAAAATAAACTTTTCTTCCTGCCTGGATACTGCATGGTGTTCTCTTCATCAGCTACCTAATTAAACCTACCTATTTAATTTACCTTACAAAAAGCAAAATCAAAAACAAGCGAAATGTGGTAGCTCACACCTGTAATGCTAGCTTCTGAGGAGGAGATGTGGAGGTTCAAAGTTTAAGAACAATCCAGGCAAAATGTTTGCAAGACCCTATCCCAACCAATATAAAGTTGTGTATGGTGGCATGCACCTGTCATCCTAGCTATGCAGAATTAAATAGGAGGCTCGCAGTCCAGTCCAGCTTGGGCAAAAATCCCGGATCTATTTGAAAAGTTACAAAAGCAAAGAAAGTCTGAGGATATGACTCAAGGGGTAGAAAGCCTCCTTAGCAAGCGCAAGGCCATATTCAAAACCCAGTACCGTGAAAGACAGAAGGGAGAAAAAGGAGAAGGAAGGAAGGGAGGAAGGGAGGGAGGAAGGTGCAGGGAGGGGAGGGGAAGGTAAATACATGGGGGGGAGGGGAGAGGAGAGGAGAGAAGAGGAGAGAAGAGAAGAGGAGAGGAGAGGAGAGTCACATAGGCTAGTCACTAGTGGGTCCCACCTGTAATCCTAGCTATTCAGGAGGCTGAGATCTGAGGATCAAGGTTCAAAGCCAGACCAAGACAGAAAAGTCTATAAGACTCTTATCTTCCATTAACTACCAGCTTTGATGGAAAAAGCAGAACAAGAGCACAGGCACAGTTGAGTTGAAGCCCCAGTAAGAGTAACTCATGAAATGCTATATAAACATGTAACAAAATGATTGCAAAGACAATACTCTTAGTATTTATGCTCATGTTCTCACTTACTGGCTATAGAAGACTTGCATTCATAGCCAGGATCAATGTTATTCTTTAGGCTGTTATTCATTTTAACTAAAAAATTGTGCATGGGCTGGGAAGGTGGCTCAGTGGTAGAGTGCTTGCCTTGCATGCATGAAGCCCTGGGTTCGATTCCTCAGCACCACATAAGCAAAAAGAAAAAAGCTGGAAGTGGCGCTGTGGCTCAAGTGGTAGAGCGCTAGCCTTGAGCTGAATTGCTGAGGGACAGCACCTAGGCCCAGAGTTCAGGCCCATGACCGGACCCAAAAATCAAAAAATTGTGCATATTTAAATGAGCTGAATCAGTAACTTAAATGCAAGTAAAATACACATTCTATAACTGCATATCTTCAGTTCCAAAGTTCTGCTTATTACCATAAGCTACTTTGATTTTAAATACACAACATAAATACCTATCTTTTTTTTTTTTCAAAACATATGGCAAAATGAGTACTCTGTCTTATGGTTCATTATTTACTTGCCAATGACTTTTATTGAACTTACAGGCAGAATAGCATCTTGATCTCCCTGTGATATTCCACAACACCAAAAATCTACTACTCCACATCGACAGCAATAATTACTAAAAACTGAGCAGATGATTTATAATTATTTGAGATTCAAAGGGCATATATCACAGTAACAATAAAAAAATGTAAGTTAAGACATAAATGACCAGCATGGCTAATATTAGTACCTCAGGCATCTTCTAACCATGATATTTATACAAACTTTGGAAAAACGAATAGTCCTAATAACTGTGAAAAAGAAAATATGCAAAAGTGGCTATTTACCTAATGGTGTTGTTCAACTCTTTACAGCAAGGGTGCAATTACCACTTAGAATGCATTAGTAATCAATATTACATTTCCCTCAAGCTTTTTTACATGTAGATAACCTTGATGCAGATGCCCTTGAGGCAGAAGCTAAGATCATTCATGTTTTTCTTCATTTGAAACATTTCAGGCATGCCAAACCTGACACCCAATCTCAGACCTCTGGGTGTGCAGCGACATCTAGTGGCCATTATATCACTAGCATGATACACATTTTAAGGAGGAATAATAATACAAGTGTCCCAGTAACAAATCAAATTTTTTAGGATGCTTCACATTTACTACCTCCAACGAAGCTACACAAGAATAGCACAGATATTTCCCTCCTATTTCAGTAATACATATTGAAAGAAAAACCAATCCATATTCTTTACATTGTCACAGGTAAATATCCTTTGTAGATTTTTCCTTAAAAAATCCAAGTTTTAACTAGTGAGACAAAGGACAAAGGTTGAACCAATGCAACAGTGATACTCACAAGACAATATGTTGGAACTAAGCTGTACAGTTTGGGGGGTTGTTGGGCAGAGAGGGAAAGTGGGAGAAAAATGAGGGAAGGGGGGTAACAAGTTTGACAAGAAATGTACTCACTTCCTTATGCAGGTAACTGTAACCCCTCTGTACATCACTTTGACAGTAAAATAAAAATTTTTTAAATCCAAGTTTTGTGTCTTCGTGTCTCTCTTCAGTTCTTGTCTCTAAAGAGCAACATAAAGAATTCCAAAACACCACCAACTACCAAATGATCATTTCTGTGGTTCTTTCCAGAATTCATGGATGGGAAATGTCCCAGCAAGGAGCAGATTAGACACTAGGTTTGATGATACACTGATGTTAAAATCAAGACATGATTAAAAGCTGCAAGTATATTCACTGTTGTTGGCCTCAGCTTTTGGGTAATTACTACATTTTAGTGTACTAGTTCATCAGGATTTTCTAATACAACCAGATTATGAAATGGAATGACAGAATCAAGATGTTATTACAGAATTGTTTTGCCATAAAAAAAATCCTGTTTCCTAGGCATAACTGTTTCCTACTAATAAATATATAAATAAATACACTGGGTTGTAAGCCAGTGTATGCAAACCTATTAACTGTAATATGGTAGATTCAAGGGAGAACTCAAATATACTTTAATCCTTTTTAAAGGCAAAATCAAACTTCAATAAAATAAACACCAGGAAACAGGTACTTGAAAGGAGTAGGGTGAGGTCCAGGGGAAAGTGGTAAACAAAAGAAGGGACGGACAGTAGGGAAGATGTAGTCAAGATTCCAATGTGTATTGTACAAAATTAAGAAAAGTGGGGAGGTTTGGGCGAGAATGTTGAAAAGGTGACATTGGTCAAGCTACATTGTATTCATAAACTGCTTTGTTAAAATGCAACTCCTTTACACAACTACGTAAAAAGAAAACAGTCAGTACATTCTTTGGCTATCTTAGGTTAGCATCTCATCATTTCTGTGCTAGCTACACACCAGGCCCTGGAACAGCTCCCAATGCCTTGACAGCTAGCTCCAGAGAAACTGCCTCCCTGTTACCACAAAGAGTTTTCCTGAGTACAGATCATTCACTGCAGTCCCATGGCTGTGGCTGTCCCTGGGAAATACTAGGACTGTCTCTACCTGACAGACTAAGCTATCTCCCCCACCCCAAACACCTGCACATAATGGATGATTACAAATGGACATCATTGACTATAAGTATTTCATCTACCACCAACCCCAAATTAATGGCTCAGGGCTAAGGCTAAAGCTTTCCATTCCTCTTTGACTTAAGGCTTTTGTCAATGATAAACAGACACAAGGCCTGGACAACAGTGTGTGTATGGATGTACTAAGTCTCCCTAAATAAAAAGTAAAATCAAAATTTACACCACCCCAGCCATAAGCCATGCTACTAATCACCTAGAACATTCCTCCACATGCCATTTTTGTGCATAAAGAGGGTTGAGGAATCCAAGACCCCTAGACTGGACACGGCAATCCACAGCAGTAATGGCTCCCAGGTGCCATCAAATTGGGGACTTAGAGGGGCCATCTTAACATCACTTAAGATAGACACATAAATGCCAGGCAGACATGTTTCAATGGACATCTCATGCTCAAGTATGTAATCATTTAATCGTATTAAATCACTGACTGAGATTCACAAGTACCTAAAGCCAAATGCAATGCAATGTGTGTAAAGCCTGCCCTCAGTAACTTCCCAGTCTACTGGAAATGGTAAGATGAAGCAGTGCTATGACCTGCCTGAACCCCTTCTTCTGTGTTCCCAGGGAAAACATTATCACTACTCACCACTCAACACTTCCAGATGTGGCTCTAGGCAGTGTCAGGTCATTACTACTGCCTGATTATCATGAGCCTCTGTCAAAAAAAACCCCTAGAATTTAACCAACATTTGAGTAAAAGGTCTAGTCTCTACCTGTCAGTGTTGGCATATCTTGAGTTTACACACATTTTAAGGATGGATTTGTTCAGGCTTATAAATAAGTCATCTGTCCAGTCCACAAAACCATTTCATAATTTCCTCTTTTCACATAAACTATCCAAAGAGTAAAGTAAATTATTCTGTCTACTTATTGCCCAGGATCATTCTTCACTGGGTCTGGGAGAGTAGACAAAGGTGTAGCTGAGTGGCTGGATGAGTTGCCACCACCAAATGCCAACAAGCCTAGAAATAATGTGGTCTGGGTCTAAGTGCTAAAACCATGCTGCCGAGTCTCTTTCTGAAAAGCACAAAAGCAAAGTATCCCATTCCTGCAAGCAAACCAACCACAAGGGTGGTGCCAAGAACTTTTGGGGCCCTTTTTTTGGCCACCCGGAATGCTGTTGGCAGCACTGCCGAGATTAATATATTGTTGACATGTCCTAGAACCTTGTTGAACGTTTTTCTCTTCAAGACACGCTCATAATAGGTTTCCAAGTTCGGTCGTTTTCCATTTCCCCAATTTCTCCTTGCAAACCCCAGGAACTTCAGCCGATGCAGTGTGACAGCAAGGGAGACATCAGCCAGCGTGAACGATTCTCCACAGAGCCAAGGCTGTTGGCCCTCTTCTAATCAGAGAAAAGGACACAGAGAATTAGGGGCAAGGACCAGACAGACTCCACCTGCAAGCTGTAATCTTAGACTGAAGAGGAAGTGTGAATGGAGCAAAAGATGAAGTCCATACTATATTTTCTTAACACTTTCACACTCACTGAGTAATTTTATGCTTAAAAACAATCAATGACACTGTTCAAACTGAAATGTACAGTACTCATTACCTAACCTATGTAACTGTAACCCCCCTGTACATCACCGTTACAATAAAAATAAATAAAATAGAAACTCAAAAGTCCAGTGCCAGCTGCTAGTGGTTCATGCTTGTAAAATCCTATCTACTCAGGATGCTGAGATCTGATTATCACAGTTCAAAGCCAGCCCAGACAAGAAAGTCTGTGAGACTCCAATTAGCCAGCAGAAAGCCAGAGGTGGAGCTGTGGCTCATGTGGTACAACACCAGCCTTGAGTAGAAAAAGGCTAACAGACAGTGACCAGACTCTGACTTCAAACTCCATTAACCACACACACACACACACACACACACAAACACAGTCCAAGCAAATGTGTCCCAAGCTAAGGAACATTTGTCACACTTGTCAGTCACACAAGCCCCCGCATGAAATCAAAGTCCCTGGCCTTCAAATCCTTTCTATCATTTTATGAAGGAGTCAGATGTTGAGAGCCTCTTATAGGGAGAGGAGTTAACAGATCAGCAAGTAGTATCTATTAATTTAGGAACGAGATATGTCTTAGACAAATGCATGAAGTTAAGGCTGAAACTTCCTTCAGTGTCTTTTCACAGTTACAGTAAGCACCAGAACCCCACAGCTCCAGCATTCATGGACCAAAACTATTAGGAGGTAAAAAAAAAAGCATTTCTACTGAACATGTTAAGGCTATTTCTTGTCAATACAGTGTAACAACTATTGCATAGCATCTACTTTACATATTAGAAATCATCTAGAGATGACTTTAAGAAATGGGAGGACATATATGCGTTCCATGCCAATACTACACACCATTTTACATAAAGAACTTGAGTGTCCATGGCTATCCTCAGGGGCTCCTGAAACCCATTGCTCATGGAGTCTGAGGAGTGATTATACCTATTTAAAGCAGAAGGAAGTTCCCACTGTGAAGCAAGTGTCAGGTACCATGATCTTCAGCTCTGTTATCAAGGAAGGAATGGTCCAGTGTATATACCCGGCTTCATGCTGAAGGCTTCAGGTGCAATGGATGCTCACAGCCAACCTACCTAACACATGCTGGCCACCATTTTATACTTCAGCTTGTTTACCTAAAAAAAACAACTAAGGAAGGCAGCCAAGCAAATACTAAGGGTATTCAGGCAAACTACTATAATTACAAGTTTGTGACACGGGTTAGGTAGGTATCTCCCAGTCATAATTTAAATGGTGTAGAAAAAAATCACCAGTCATATTTCACAGAGATGCAAACTGAGTTATAATTAGACATTCGAGTTTGCTGCGTTCAATAGCACAGTTGCTATCATAATTAGAACTGTCCGTGAATAGAAACAGTTTAAAAAAAAAAACACATATTACAGAATGTACTTGGTGAGATCTAAGAATGTTCTTCTGTGTATTCCTGTGTTGAAATCAGCAAAGATTAGAAATGAGAACCTACCTGGGGTTTCCTCATTTCTTCTTTGCAACTCAGTTTCAACTTGATCCAAGACCTTCTCCAATTCATCTAGAATTTTCTTCAAATATTTGACATTGTCATGATCCAGTAGCTTTGACTAATTAACCACAACCAAAAAAAAGAACAAAGATAAAAGCTAAATATGTACTTATCCCTTTACAAAAATCTACTTAGCACAAAACAGATATAAATTCTTCTAGAATTGGAGCCTCTTTATGAGAAAATCAAAATACACAGAATAACTGTAAACTCAGAGCACCATCAAGGGGAAATACCCAGCTATGAAAACATCTCAGTAGCAGACCCAATGCTTACCAGCAACTCCCAGGAAATGACTAGGAAATGACTAGGAAAGACAAAGAATGTGGGGGACATGAAACAATTCCTCTTGTGAAAGGTATTTAAGTTGCCTTACAAGTTGCGATTAAAGATAGAGGTTGGAAGGAAGAGAGTAGAGAGTGAGGGAAATGGCTATATGCAGACATTTCTTCTGAGGAGTTCATTTAGCCAAGAAGGGGTAAAAGGAGATGGAAATGGAGGAAGGGTTGGAGTGTTTCTGTTAGCTCCCCTGTGATGCAGGAGAAGCTCTTATGTATTATCTGGCTGTGAAGAAAGAAATCAACAAAAGGCAAAGGCAAACTACAACCATTGCTCCTGATTAAAAAGATCAAGTCAGGATAATACGTAAGGGGCACAGGCCAAATGAGGCTTTACAATGATGGACTAGCTGCTATGAGAGATTCTGAAAATATTCCATTAATTTCCTCTTGCATTTTATAACTTTCCATGGCAACTATCCCCCTCAAGATCTACTTCTCAGGCAATCATCACTAGGTTTGGCTACTAAATGTAATAAAGGAAATTCTTTCTAAAAGTAGAGTATCATAAGCCAAAGGTAATGTGCCCTGGTGAAATGCAACATTTAATAGAAGATTTCCCATAAACACAGTCTTGTTTTACAAAAGGAACATTTACTAGCAGTGGGTGTCAGATGAGGACAACCTGGTCACTTACTTTAAGCCGTTTCTGTTTGGCAATATATGCCTCTTGTAAATCGGGGTTTTCTTCAGCAAGTTTCTTCAGTTCAGATTCTGTGTTACCAATTTGGCCTGATAATAAAAACATACTTGAAATGGAATAGTATTCTGTTTCTCTTTTATTTTTATTTTTTATCATCTTTAGGTGTACAAAGGCGTAACCAAGCAGTTTATGAATACAATGCATCTTGATCAATCCATCTTTTGACTGGGTGTGTCTAGTCACACACCCCAGAGTCTAACCACTGTCACCTTCTCTAGCCTTCACAGCCCCACACACTGCACTACAGAGATGCCTCCTTCTGCTCCATGTCTCAGGCACTGACTCTACCATATCATGATGACCAGAAGGAGGGGAAAAGCTGGAGGTCTCTACTCAATCTCAATAATTCTCCATCACTAATGCAGAGGTAATGGCTAGACACCCTTTCCTCCAGTTCCCTCATATAAGGAAGTAACAATTAAGGACCAGGAATGTGAATCCAGTTGTCCATCATCCCAGGTAGATTCTAATGGCTCTTTGTACACCTGTTCATGAGAACAGGTCATGTTCTCTAACACAAACCACCCTCTCGTTTTCTCCACACCTCTTCCTCCAGCCCAAGAGCTGATGAACTAGGTCCTATAGACAATAAATGTCCTATGGAATGACTGAAGCACAGATTAATTTGACTGCTTCCTGGATCTATCCACAACACATACATCCAGGGAGAGAACTCCATAATTCTGTTCCGTCTTCTCTCAATGATCATGAAACATGCTCGTTCTCAAGAATGAATTGAAAGGCACCTCAAATAGAACTGCCATCCTTAACATTTTTACATACTGCGGATCCTTGTGGTTGCATAAGCTGGGATCATGGAGTCCACAGTGAGCTCAGGATGTAAAATGCAGCCGTGTGTATAGGCATCCATTGGCAAAGAGTCAAGAAGTTCTCGGTAATGCTGCACCCGTGGGTAATACATGCTTCCTTTATAAGGCATTAACCTGGGTGTTCTTTCTAAAATACACATACAAACATGAACACAAACATGGGAGAAAAGGTTACACATGAGATGTTAGCATGCCAAAGTAAAAACCTAAGCACTCACCATTAACATTTATACATTCTATCAGAACACTTAAGACATACCTGTTTCCCCAACCTAGACATTCACCACCATTCAAAATGGCCCAATGTGCCAGATTGCATCCCAAATAGCTGAGTCCACTGACAGCTTCTCACTTCTTAGAAACTTCTGTTCAACTCTCAAGGTACGGGTCTTTACCCCACTTCCTCCTTGTGCATGCCCTGACCTCCTTCAACTGCCAGCACCTGACGGCTCAGGTGTGCCTTCTCCTTTATATGATAATACACTGTTCACACACTGCTCTTTGTCCCTATGACCTGCAAACAGCTGCATCTTGGTTTCCTCTTATATATGTTCATCACAATGCTTCCAATAAAGGGTAAAGTAAGTGGATAGTCATTATGGGGAGACAATCTATGTGCCTTCAAGATTGAGAATGACCTGACTCACCTCATGCAAGAAGGCAATCTATATAGAATATGGAAGGCCTCTGCTCCAGTACCATTGTTGCACTTTCTCTAGAGATTTCAGTTCTACCTAAGTAACTCACTTACTGGGTAAAATCAAGACTGTAAATTCCTCATGGGCAAGGGGCCCTACATCGTACTTTGTTTAAGACAATGTTTTACATATAATAGGTGTTTAATAGCTCAGAATTAATCTCCAAATTTCCAGTTACAGAATACATAAGCTGGAGAAGCTCTGTAGTAGTTAATGACACATGACAATATAGATGCTATAAGTTCTCCCAAGATCCCTTAGCTAATTAGAGGCAGCACCAGAACTAAGTCACCTGACTCCTAATGTAATGCTCTGTTTTCTTGCACCATCAAGATGTTCAAGGATTTACACTTCAGAAACTGTCCAAAAGAATAAAAGTAAAGATAAGCCTCAAAGGTTAAGGTTATATTCTCTCCAAAGCATTTCCCACTCTGACTCTGAAACCATCCTTGAAAAGTATCAACTGGCTTATTCAAAAAAAATGAACATCCTTAACATTCTTTATTCATGTATTCCTAAATGAAGTGACTTATATGATTTAGAATCCTTTTGGGCATTCATAAACATTGACAAAAGAGTTGAATGCCATCAGCAGAGCATTTGTGCAAGATCTTCCCAGGCCAGACCAAGAACAAGATTTTTAAGCCTGCTTGCTATTTCTGATTCTCAAAGAAACAAGAAAATAAATTAACTCGTCAGATCAGTAGGCAAATGTCTCAATATCTGCTGGAAAGGCTAAGGCTGAACACGGTCAGACCAAGCATCAGCTACACTGCTCCTCTGCCAAGCACATTTCATTTCTAACGCGTGTGAAATCAAAACAGGTCAATCTCAGCCTCTTTCCAGCATGGGTCTTCAGCAGCAGCTTAGACAATTTGTAGGGCCTCAACACTATCACCAAGACCCCAAGTAATTCGCAGTAATCATTTCCATGAGAATAATAGACCTGAAGGTCTTACCCTTGTGTGTGCCACTGACTTCCTCTCAAAATAATAATCTCCTTAAAAGCATAAAACAAGATTGCAAAGGAAGTTAGATTAAAATAATCATCAAAATAATTTTAAATTAGAAAATACTATCACAACTGGGCACCCATGGCTCACACCTGTCATCCTAGCTACTAAGGAAGCTGAGATCTGAGGATCATGGCTCAAAGCCAGCCTGGGCAGAAAAATCCAAGAGATTCTTATTTCCAATTAATCAGCAAAAAGTCAAAAGTGGAAGTATGGTTCAAATGGTAAAGCATCAGGCTTAAGTGAGAGCTCAAGACCTTGAGTTCAAGCCCCAGTACCTGCATGGGGGGGGGGGGGGGGAGAGAATGGAGGAAGGAAGGAAGGAAGGAACGAACGAACGAAGAAAGGAAGGAAGGAAGGGAGCAAGGGAGGGAGGGAGGGAGGGAGGAGAAAGAGGAAGGGAGGAAAGAAAGCAAGCAAGCAAGCAATGAAAACACTTAGCATAACTGTGAGCAACATTTCATATCCTGAAACCTATCCACTATCATTCTAACTTTCAACATTCCTTAAAATTCCATCTGCTGCCAGACAAAATGTGAAAACTTCTGACTATCTTAGAATGCAGGGCCTTAAACTACTCCTGAATCCAACTGTTGCTTGTAAAACAACCCGAGATCACACCAGCTTTAATTTATTATCGGTACCTTTCTGTCAGTCAGCTACCTCACTGTCCTTAATCTAGCTGATTTTATAAAAATAAAATTCCCACATTGGAATATGTCTCTAATTATTGCATGTAAAAGAAGGTCTCTGGCTACAGGGGCAATAAGAAATCTATAAATAAATATTCTTTATTATAGTAATTTATTCATCTGTAATATATATTACTATTTTCTAGCCACATTTGCTCCTTTATTTCACAAAGGTATCAGATAAAACTATCTCAAATGCTCTATTTAAATCAAGATATACTATCTCTAGATCCATGGCCGACACATAATAGGTGTAGACAGACAGATAGATTTATATATATATATATATATATATACACCTATGTTTTTAGCATTCTACTGCAATAAAAATATTGCATTTCCTTCTAATGAAGGATTAAAATGTGATATATATATTCAAAACCCTTATATATTATATATTATACATATATATATATTCAAAATCCTTGGTAAATTTTATGAGTTACAAAGAGAAAAACAAATCCAACCAAATCTTATTATATTGCATTCTTTCTTCTTTCACATAAGATTACTTATCCAATTGGAAAATATTTTTTAAAATTAAATTAGAAAGCTATTCTAGAATTATGCCAGACTCAAAGATAGTAATTTACAGCAATGTTTAAAGTAAACATCATGATTTATAGCATATTCTACATATTTTCAAAGTTGAATGCACCTATAAATCACTTAGGGCCCTTCCTAAAACAAAGACTCTCACTAGTTTTGTTGTGAGGTCTAAAGTTCTGCATTTGTAACACACCTGCAGGTGATGCCAATGCTGCTGGTGGATGAGACATACTTAGGAGCATTTCTTTCCCCTTCCTTGATAATTAGGATCATTTTGTCTATCACTTGTCTGACTCTGGCTCTTACTGTCCACAAGGTTGTTTTTAGTTTGGTTAATTGACTTTATTTTGTTGTTGTTATTGTTGTTGGTGGTGGTAGTGGTAGTGGTGGTGGTGGTAGTGGTGGTGGTGGTGGTGTGTGTGTGTGTGTGTGTGTGTGTGTGTGTATACCAATCTGGGACTTGAACGCAGGGCCTAGGCACTGTCCCTGAGCTTTATTGCTCAAAACTACTTCTCTACTACTTAAGCCACAGCTCCACTTCTGGCATTTTGGTGGTTAGTTGGGGGTAAGAGTTTCACAAACTTTCCTGCCCAAGTTGGCTTTGAATTGCAATCCTTAGATCTCAGCCTCCTGAACAGCCTGTATTACAAGCATGAGCCACGGTCACTTGGCTATCCACAAGTGCTATTTTTATTTTATTTTCTATTTTTGGTGCCAGTTCTAGAGCTTGAACTCAGGGCCTGGGTACTGTCCTTTGAGTTTTTTGCTCCAGGATAGCATTCTACCACTTGAGACAGGTCCACATCCAGCCATTTTGGTGACTGATTAGAGATAAGAGGCTCATGGACTTTTTTGCCTGAGCTAATTTCTAACTTCCAGTCTCAGATCTCAGCCTCCTGAATAGCTAGGATAACAAGCATGAGCCACCAGCACCCAGCTGCCCGTGGGTTCTTAAGGATAAAAATTAACTGTATGAATTATAATTGTGGTAATACTTATGACTGTTACTTTTTTAAATTTCAATACTCTGGGGCAAACTTCATCTTGACCTGTATACTTGACTAGCCTTGATTTATATGACTTGTTCCCTAGCCACCTTAATATCTAACATAAATTATTGGTCTCTTACTCTTGTTTCAATTCCTTTCCAATTAGATAACTACTTCCTTGGGAAAAAAGTTAAATAAGAGCTGGTTGGACCTGTTTTATCTCTACAACAAATAAAATTAAATTCCCTAATCCAAAAGACAAATAGAGAATTGTAATCACCAAAGGTATTCAACAGGTAGTGGCTATAGACTAAAGGCTAGAATTCCTGATTGCTGTTTTTAATTATAATTATATATATATAATTATAATTGCCCATTTCTATATTTCCATCTTATCACGGCCATAATGCCTTGTCCTCTAATTCAACTAACAGTCATGTTAAAAAATATTTAGTTCAGTTGTTTAAATGAGTTATTTTTAAAACTGAATTTAGGGCTGGGAAGATGGCTCAGTGGTAGAGCGCTTGCCTTGCATGCATGAGGCCCTGGGTTCGATTCCCCAGCACCACATAAGCAAAAAGAAAAAAAAAGCCGGAAGTGGCGCTGTGGTTCAAGTGGTAGAGCGCTAGCCTTGAGCTGAAGAGCTGAGGGACAGCGCCCAGGCCCAGAGTTCAGGCCCTACCACCGGATCCAAAAAAAAGAAAAAAAAAAAAAAAAAAGAAAAATCAGTTCCCTAACCTGGGGGTGGGGTGGGGGTGAGGGGTGGTGGTGGTTGGTGGAAAAATAACTCAAGAAGTAGGAACTGTGTGCAGGTGTCAAATTGAATGTTCTTTAATAAAAACTGAATTTACTTTAGAGAAAGCCTAAGAAAATCTAATAATCAGTTTTATATTTTGCAAAGCATTATTTTATATTGCTGACTTTTTTAAGATGTAAAATGGAGTAAGGAGAAAAGGAGAAGGTAGAGGACTAGAAGAATAACAGACAATGCACCAGATAACTTAAATATGATTTCCACTTTGAATATAATTCTTTCACAATTACTTTTTTGTTCATATTATGAAAATCACTTATCCCAACACTTATAATTATTAACAGACTTATCCATTTCCAAAAGTTCAAAATTGAGAAAAATTATCTTGAATCAATGAGCTGCCATTTCAGTCCAGTGCTCAGCATGTAAACATATATGGGAGAACAAGCCGTGGTAAAGGCTAATTTCATATGCCATTTGGTTTAGGCCAAGGCCACCCTTAGTTAAAATTCCCAATCAAAATCCAGACTCCTAGGGCAATAACATTCAGAGTATGAATAGTGGCATCTTCCCACCAATAAAAGAATAGAGATTGCTAATCCACTTCCTTCCTTTTTTTTTTTTCTAGGAGCTTCAGATTTTTTTTTTTTTGACTAGTAATTTCTTTCCTTGGCTTCCTTCTATTTGGGGTTGTGTCCTGGTTTCAGCCTTCCCAACTGAATATTAACACATGTGACCAAAGAAGAGTACACTGGATCACACATGGCCTCCTCTTTGGATAAGGGCTCAGGTGAAAGCCAGAAGGCCTCGGTGCTGCCTGAAGGTTTGCCAGTGATGAGCTGTGTAAACTTGACCAAATCACTACAGCTACAGTTCACCTGAAGGTTTTGTCATTTAAAACAGTTGGTGTGGTATGAAAGTTTTGGAGATCAAAGACGCTACCATCAAATGATCATATTACCTTGGACAACCCTCTATTTTTCTTTCTTCATTTATGGAGCATGAATACCTTGTCTACTGTACTGTTTCCAATGAGTTCTTTTGAGGCCTGAGTAGTACTGAAATAATAAAATTCCTGACACATAAGCTACTGACAAGTGTTAAGCCCTATCATTCTGTAGATTAAAAATCCAAACTATACAGGGAGAGCAAAGAACTCATAATACACTAACACTCCATGTTCCCTTGTCTAAGATTTATGTCTCTTTTTGTTCTTGTTGTTGCTGTTTTTAAGATGCAATCTGTTAGATCAAATTAATTTCGACATACATTAAGAATCAATGTTACAAATTTAATTTTAAAAACTAATAAATCATCACTACACAAAACACACATTTGCAGACTTGTTTGCAAGTGAATTAAAAAGGTTAGTTTCAACATTAGCATTTGTACTTTGCATAAAATTCTTTTAAACAGAATAACAATGGTTCATGTGAAATTTATGTTGACTTATAGCTCCGTGCTTATGGAAATGGAAAAAGTTTTCAAAGTACTAAAGTCACCATCTTAAAACCACTAGAAGCGAGGGAGAGAGAAATAAAGAGGGGGGCACACAGACGGATAAATGAGAAAGAGAAGGAGTGAGAAAGGGAGAGAGGAGGAATATTTATTAAGGGAGAAAGAAAATTTATGGTGAAAGTAAGTCCAATAAATGACAAATAGCCTTAACATTACCATCCAGGAAAGTCTGTTCAAGATAATCAATGATCTGAGTGGCCTCACAAATTATGTTTTCCCCGTGGATAAGGACAGGCACTTCTCCAGTTGAGTTCAAACGCATAAACCAAGGCTCATTGTGCTCACTCAGTGGCAGACTTACATCATGTTCCTCGCACTTCAATGCCTTTTCAGCAATTACCAAGCGAACCTGCAAGAGTTCACAGGGGTTACTCAGCGCGGGCAAGCTTTCAGTCAAATGGAGTTGTTAACGTTTTGGACATGCTTGTCAATAATTCCTGTCCCTACGGTAACGAATAAGTAGGATACGTTCTAATGTCTTCTTCCTTGAGAGCGGAACATGAAGGAAATAAGGAAGATCATTTTGGCTGCGTTCATTACACGGTCACCCTCCCCATCGTCACCACCGTCTTTGTGTCTGAGACCTAATCGTGCACACTGTCCAGACAAGAACCTGCCGGCCAGGGACCCCGGGCCCTGTCGGAGAGAACAAAAGAAACGTAGATCAGATGCCTCCCGGTCCCCAGTGGGCCAGGCCTCTCGGCCAAAGCTGTGCGCGATGGGTTTTTTTAGGTCGCAAAACATGAGTGGCGGTGCCAGCGGGGTTCCAGCCCCCTCATCTCAGACTGGTGAGCGTCTCCACTCCCCATCAGGTGGATTCCAGGCCCTGAAAGGAGCGAGGTTCCAGGTTAGACCGCAGGAGGTCTGGCAGGGCCGGGGGAGACGCCCGGGAGCTGTCCAGTGCTGAAATCCGACGCCACCCTCCTCCCGATCCGCCCCCACCCCACCCTCACCTCCCAGACCGAGGCCTTTACCTTTTGAGAGCTGAAGGAGTGCGTCCAGTGATACAGAATGAGTTTAACCTCGCCATCGGACTTGCCTTCCGCCATCAAGGGCGTGCCGGCTCTCTGCTCGTCCTGCCGGCGCGCCATGTCGCGATGCGGGAACGCGGGAGGGTCTCACCTGTGCGCCCTGCGCGCCCTGCGCGTCCCCGGCCCTGCGTCCCGGGGTTGTATCCCACGCCGCCCCGCGGAGGGAGACGCGGGATCGGCTGGCAAATGGGCCTCTGGGAAGTGTAGTTCCACCCGAGACAAAGCTGGAGGGCCGGACTGCAAAGAAGGGGTCCAGGGGGCTGTGCGCTCCGAAGTTCCTAGAGCGTTAAAGTCACCTGAGAGCTGCCACTGGGGGGGAGGAAAAAAAAAATCTAAAACTAGGAGTGCCTGGTTATGTGATGGGGAAAAGTGATCTTAGCAAACTACCCATAAGCTTTGGAAGTTGCTGGGTCTAAAGGACACAATTTCCCACGACGCTCGGGGCTTTTCATTTGGCAAAAGAGAAGAGAGGAGGGGCTGGGAAGGTGGCTCAGTGGCAGAGCGCTTGCCTTGCATGCCTGACCCCTGGGTTCGATTCCTCAGTACCACATAAAGAAAAAAGCCGGCAGTGGCATTGTGGCTCAATTGGTAAAGTGCTAGCCTTGAGCTGAAGAGCTGAGGGACAGCGCCCAGGCACAGAGTTCAGGTCCCACGACCGGACCCCCCCCCCCAAAAAAAAAGAGAGAAGAGAGGGAGAACAGAGGAAGAGGAGAACAGAGGGAGAACGGAGGAGAGGAGAGGGGAGGGGAGGGGAAGGGAGGGAAGGGAGTTCCAGTGGACAGAGCAAATGGGTAAGGGTCAATGAGGAGTCACAAAAAAAAAAAAAAAAAAAGATCTAATAAATAACCAATAAACAGTGGCCGTGTAAAATGGCCTAGTTGTCAAACACAGAAACTATACAGCAGAAGTATCTAGCTTCTGTCCTGGGTTTTCCATTTTCTCTACTCTTGAAATAAAAATAATTTTATTCACTGATAAGGTATAAGATTTTTGTTTTATTTCTGTACTTGAACTCAGGGACTGAACACTGTCTCTTACCTTGTTCGCTTAAAGCTGATGCTCCACAATTTCAGCCACAGCTTCAGTTTTGGATTTTTGCTGGTTAATTGGGGCTAAGAGTCTCACAGTGTTTTCCTACCCAGGCTGGCTTCAAAGCATGATCCTCACATCTCAACCTTCTGAATAGCTAGCACTGCAGGTCTGAACCATCAGCATCTGGCCTCATAAAGTTTTTGTAAGAACTGATTACATAAATAAAATATTAAATATTCAAAACATCTATATCAATATCTATATCATTGAAGGATTCAATGTTAGTGACAATCCCAGTTGCTTTATAAACAGTCTATAAGCACGGTCAGGATCATAATTTCATATCAAACCTAGATATATATATATATATGAAAAGTTGACATAGCAAACTGATTATATATATATATATATATATATACATATATATATATGAACATCAGGTAAATGCTCTTATAATACATTCAGCAAATATCTGAATATCTACTATCTTCCAGATAATTTGGTGCATCCTGGAAATGCACAAATGTGCAGGGCACTCAAGACGTAAGTGCTATGGCAGAGATGACAGAATAAGTAGACAGCTATCTGAAACAGAATTGTCTTAGGGCCGACATAAGATACTATGAGAAAGGAAGGAACAGTAACCAGTCCAAGTAGGGAGGGTGCCTGGAAAGTACAAAATCTTACAAGGTTCCTACCTCTACCTTTACAGCACTCCATTTGCTGCTCATATAATTCTTTTATAATTTCTAAAGGTTTTAGCGGGACACCAGGGCTCATACTTGTAATCCTAACTACTCAGAGTGCTGAGATCTAAGGACAATGGTTCAAAGCTAGCCCAGGCAGGAAAGGTCCATGAAACTCTGATCTCCAATTAGCCACCAAAAATGCTAGAAGTGGCAGTGTAGATCAAGTGGTAGGGTATCAACCTTGGTAGAGAAACAAAGGGACAGTACTCAGGCCCTAAGTTTAAGCCTCAGTATTGGCACATGAAGAAAAGATTTTAACTTTTGATAGTACTAGAATTCCAAGTCAGGGCCCTATGTCTGTTAGTCAGGCACTCTACCTACCGCTTGAGCCATACCTCTGGCACTCTTTGTTTTGGTTATTTTTTTGAATAGGATTTTTTGCCAGGGTTTTTGTGGTTGCTTTCAGCTTTTTTAAATTTTGTTAATTCTTGTTCTTATTTCCTGGGAAATAAGAGTCCTATTCAAAAAAGAATTGCCTATATCTTCTGTTGTCTTCCTTTAGTAGTTTCAAGATTTTTGGTCTTACAGTAAAATCTTTGATCCATGTTAAACATAATTTTGTACAGGCAGAGAAAGTAGTGGTGTAGTTTCAGTCTTCTACATGTGAACATCAAACTTTCCCAGTTCTATTTACTGAAGAGTCTGTCTTTTCTCCTATGTGTCATTGATCTTTTTTTTTTGTATTTTTTAATAAAGTTTGTAATCCAATGGACACACAAAACAAAACTGCGCTGAGGAAAACAGTTTCATAAATTAATAGTGTTAGGAGGTCTGGGGGCAGTCCCGGTCGCAGGAGGTGGTACTGGCGGGTCCTGTACAGATGCTTGAAATCTAACAAAACAGAAAACCCTGGAGTTCTCTTTTCAAAGTACTTCTATAAATGACCACAAGAGGTCTCTGTTTTTTAAGAAAACTCAGTTCCCTATTACTTTTCTTTCTTGACAACCTGGGGGGGAGGGGGGGGGGAGAAGCAGGGAGGAAATAGTTATATTTAATGAATTAAGCAAGTCCAAAAGAAGATTTTCCAAGATGTAAACAATATATACCTTTTTATGCACATAGAAAAAATAGAATTGTCTCCAGTTTCCCCTAACAATAGCTATGTTGATACTAACTACACACCCAAAAACTGGTTTGTCCACTCTCTCCTGGCATATGCTGGTAATCTAATCCATGTGAATTATACAGGATTTATAAGTAGGATTCACAATAGGAGAAAGAGGGTGAGTTTGCCCTCCACAATTTCACCCTCTCAAAAGTATAAGTAACAAGCACACAGTGATCAAGACATGCTAAAACCACAGGTCTGCTGTGGACTGAAACTCAGTGCCACTATAAAGCTATCCTCTGTCCAAAAGGTTCCGTGACCATAATGAAGACTGAGACTTATGGAGATGAATAGATATTGTGCATTTTCAAGAAAAAGGAGTTCTTATTTAGAAAGTATTCTTAAGAATTTTTAGCTTGAATACAAATATAGTCCTTGTTTATATTCTCAAGTAGCTACAAAACCTTCTGAATGAGAAGAAAGATAGTCTAGGAGTCTATTAAATTGTTCAGCAAACCCTTAATCAATGTGACTTCCATATTTGATTTACCACAATGGTTCTCAGAATGTGTCCCCTGTTAAAACTTGCACACTCTACTAAATCACTAGTTCTTGGGATAGGGGTCCAATAAACCCTCCAGGTTTCTCCAGTACACAGGAAGTTTAATTGATTAATACGATTCCGACTTTTATTTCCCCATCTATAATTAATTTGTGTGCTGGTACTCAGGGCCTGGACGCTGTCCCTTAGCTTTTTCTACTCAAAGCAAATACACTACCACTTCAGCCATACCTCCACTTCTGGATTTTGGTAAGACTCTCACAGATTTGTCTGATCAGACTGGCTTGGAACTTTGCTCTTCAGGTATCAGCTTGCTGGCCAGTAGGATTTCAGCCATAAGCCACTTGGTCCATCTATAAATGTTGTTGAAAAGAATAATGTGTGATAGTCAAAAGGCTGACTTAATAGTGTCTGTTAAATTGAAAATAAATAAATAAATGTTTTAGAACCACCTCTACAAATTACATCGGTAAAAACAACATAATGCTAATTAGTTAAGAGTTTCTGACCTCCACGGTGCTAATACTGTCATTTTCCTCTCAGACTTCTCCCCTCTTGGCTTTGGGGCAAAAAGCGACAGTGACTGAAGAATAACTCTTGCTTGGTTTGGAGACTCTAAAATGTTTCTTATGGTTTTTCTTGCATTCCAAAGCAAATAATCATAGTTAGAACCTGATATAAGGTACTAATTCAAGAGGCTCTAGTTATGAGCTTAATGTAACTTAGAATACTAGAGTTAATTATCTGGCTTGCCAAGCAGTGACTAGCCATGTTAATGATACACCAAAATTCTTTATTTTTTTAAACAATTCACTTTGAGCAGTATTTCTGGTGGAAAGGCTCTGATCTATCAATCCCTTTCATCTGTGCTTATAGTGATAATCAGTGCATGTGCTCAAAATAAATATGACTTTGGGCCACATGCAGTTCAAACAAAGTATATTTATACTTGGTTGCTCAATGTGTGTGGGGGAAGTATTTACTGTATTTCAAGAACATTGTATTTAAAATGTGCCAAATCACTGGAGGCAGGGAGAAATATTCTTATTTTATAGATGTTGCAGGACACATAAATAAGAGGATTGCAGTGCAGGCTTGCTTAAGCAAAAACTGAAACCCTATTCAAAAATAATGAAATAGTTTGAGTTGTACAGTGCCTGCCTGCCTGGTCTTGCAAGTGAGAATCCCTGAGTTCAAACTCCAGTTCAAAGAAGGAAGAAAGGGAGAAGGAAGTAAAGAAGGAAGGAAGGAAAGAAGGAAGGAAGGAAGGAAGGAAGGAAGGAAGGAAGGAAAGAAGGGAGGGAGGGAGGGAGGGAGGGAGGGAGGGAGGGAGGGAGGGAGGGAGGGAGGAAGTGAGGAAGGAAAGAAGAAAGGAAGGAAGGAAGGAAAAAGGGAGGGAGGGAGGGAAGAGAGGAGAGGGGAAAGAAAGGGAGAGAGAAAGCAAGGAAGGGAATAATGAAGGAAGGAAGAGAAGGAAGGAGGGAAGAAGGGAGGGAAGGAAAAAAATATCTCACTTTACTGTATGAGGCACAACCATAGTCATCAGCTACAATTTCTCTAGTCTCATATACAAATACACTCTATCCCTCAAGTCCCTAAGTGTTTAACTTTAGTAAAAATAAAAATAAAAAACTGTCCGAAAATTTTGAGAGTTCATAGAAAACAATGGACA